TGGCGACAGTTGCAATGAACGCAGCCCCCCAGGGCACCGCGAGGTCTCGAGGTGGTCCGCGTTGGACGTACCTTCGCTGGGCCTCCCAGGAGCCCACGAAAATGGCGACAATTGCGCAGCTCGCAGCCCCCAGGGCGCCGCGAAGTCTCGAGGTGGTCCGCGTTGGACGTACCTCCGCTGGGCCTCCCAGGAGCCCACGAAGGTGGTGACAATTGCGCAGATCGCAACCCGCCAGGGCGCCGCGAGGTCTCGAGGTGGTCCGCGTTGGACGTACCTCCGCTGGGCCTCCCAAGAGCCCACGAAAGTCCGCGACAATTGCGCAGATCCCAACCCGCCAGGGCGCCGCGAGGTCTCGAGGTGGTCCGCGTTGGACGTACCTCCGCTGGTCCTCCCAGGAGCCCACGAACGTGGCGACAATTGCGCAGATCGCAGCCCCCCAGGGCGTCGCGAGGTCTCGAGGTGGTCCGCGTTGGACGTACCTCCGCTGGGCCTCCCAGGAGCCCACGAACGTGGCGACAATTGCGCAGCTCGCAGCAACCCAGGGCGCCGCGAGGTCTCGAGGTGGTCCGCGTTGGACGTACCTCCGCTGGACCTCCCAAGAGCCCACGAAAGTCCGCGACAATTGCGCAGATCGCAGCCCCCCAGGGCGCCGCGAAGTCTCGAGGTCGTTCGCGTGGGACGTACTTCCGCTGGGCCTCCCAAGAGCCCACGTAAGTCCGCGACAGTTGCGCAGATCGCAGCCCCCCAGGGCGCCGCGAGGTCTCGAGGTGGTCTGCGTTGGACGTACCTCCGCTGGTCCTCCCAGGAGCCAACGAAAGTGGCGACAATTGCGCAGATCGCAGCCCCCCAGGGCGCCGCGAGATCTCGAGGTGGTCCGTGTTGGACGTACCTCCGCTGGGCCTCCCAGGAGCCCACGAACGTGGCGACAATTGCGCAGCTCGCAGCCCCCCAGGGCGCCGCGAGGTCTCGAGGTGGTCCGCGTTGGACGTACCTCCGCTGGGCCTCCCAGGAGCCCACGAGCGTGGCGACAGTTGCGCAGATCGCAGCCCCCCAGGGCGCCGCGAGGTCTCGAGGTGGTCGGCGTTGGACGTACCTCCGCTGGGCCTCCCAGGAGCCCACGAAAGCGGCGACAGTTTCGCAGATCGCAGCCCGACGGCACGAGAGAAGAGGAGAGGGGAACACAGGAGACAGGAGAGAAGGAGGGGAGGAGGGGGGAGGAGGAGAAGGACGGGGCGACCACACTGCTCTATTCAAAACGAGTGCCCAACCATAGGAGGGTTGGGAAATATCTCCCACCCGAGGCGCTACAACCGCGCTCAATTTCCCTCCGAATCCGCTACACTCTGACTGCGGCCTGTCAGCTTGCTGACTGTCCGCAGCGCCGTCTGTCAGCTCGAGGAGAAGCAGGAGGCAATGCGGCAACACTCATGAGGCCCCATCCCTGCCTGTCCAGATGTTCGTAACTACAGATGCGCAGTTGTAAACCAATGTTTGTGCGTGCGCGCGGGCCGCCGTCGCAAGTCATTGCTGCGTTCCCCAATAGCTCACGACGCGGTCGTGCCGTGTGTCGCCAGAGGAACACAACGCGCGATCGCCTGCGCGCACGTGGACACGCAAAGAAAACATGACAATTCAGGAATGCAGTATGGTCGCGGCAAGCAGGGTTGGCAGCGGCGCCCGTAAATGACCCCAGTCTTGAAAAGAGCACACGTTTCGATATTACCGCGGTTAGCCATGTCATCGAATTGCATGCCGCCACTTCGGGCGCGAACCCGTGTGAAGCGAATGCGGCACCTGGTTACTGGTGGTATATATTCTCCAACCCAAGATAAATCAACCAAGCCTGCACGTATCGAAAATCAAGACGCGACCACGAGAGTCGCCACAGCTCCGAAGGGGTTCACACATCATTGTATGAGGCATGTGGTAAAACGTTACAGATTCTGCGCATGCCACCTGCTGCGCTGCGCCCACACGCAAATCAACCCAAACAACGAGATCGCTCGCAACCTGACTGCTCATAACATTTGTTCTGACGTTGTCGAGCTCGATGGCGAAGTTCTTAGAACAACGGCATGGCCAGGGGCGTTCGACATCACTGCAGGAGTACCCACGCGGCCGCCAAAAACACGGCCAATGCACCGTCGAGCGAATGTCATGTGGCAGTAGCCGTGAAGCCCAACAAACCGCGTTCCACCTTGAAGCTTCGCAACTTATTGACAACCCTCTGCGCGATGGGGTCCGTGAAAGAATGGTCACTGACAAGAACGATGTGACAGATTGAACATGCTCTTCTGTCGTAACGGTTAAGACAGGACAGAAGCGATCCGCCAGTTGCAACAGAGCATTCATCGTATAGATGCCCAGGTCGGTCAATCTTTCGCGCGTCGTGAGCGTCCCCCTGACAACGAGAACTTGCGCTTGGATGAGGGAAAACCTGAAGACCGCCATGCGCCCCACCTGATCATGGTCGTCAGCGTTCACAAGCTGGACATCAACGAGAGCGGTCCCGCCTACGCCTTCTTGGACGAAGGATAGAATAGAAGCGCTGCTGCCAAAGCATTGCGAACTCGCCAGATTCAGCAAATGCAGCACCGTCAACTGTTGTTTCCCCTGGCATTGAAGGGTGGCCCCAATCGTAATTTGCACACGGGGTATACGTTGAGTCTCTGCGCAGGCGTGTAATTCATACCCCCACTAAGCCTCCTGGCCGCGTCATCCAGCCGAGCTGGCTTATGTTGTAAGGCCCCGAAACAGAAGGCAATACAAAAGAAGGTGCTGGCATACATACCAGCACAGGAGTCGCAGCCCCACGGCCACTGACCACCCGGCGCACGTGTAGCAATACCATAATCATGGCCACCAGCAAGACAACCAAAACTGCGCTTTTCTGATGGATGGAGGTAAGTCCAACCTTCAATGCCAACAGAAGGGCGCCGACCGCCCGTAATATGAACTTAGTTCGCGAGCGTCTTGGAATTTGACGTGTCGTAGGAGGCAGAACCCCATTGTGAATCACGGCGCTTCAGTCTTCTTGCCCTGCTTCCCAGAATGACGACCCAAGCTTCCTATCGGCGTTTCCAAAGTTAAGTATCGATACTGTCGCACACATGCTGCCACTGCTTGCCAAGAAAAGCTAGCTGATAGCTTTGAGTACTACGAGGGACACTACCAACATGAGGCCGCCTCTGACATAGCCATGCACGGGTGATTGAAGCGGAGCGCAGCCGAGAGCAGTGTGTCCACCACTTCGATAAGGTTGTCCACAATGCCATGATGATCTCGCGTGTCTGTTCAAAACCGTTAAGGTGAGTCCATCGCACAATAGATCCTCATGCTTCTCAAGGAGTGCCGCCATGGAGCCGCACATGAGTGGAACAATGCCGTACAAGCAGTGATAACGCTTTGTATTACAAAGCGTGATCACTGCGTGGCCCATTGGCATGTCCTCATCTAGAGAGAGACAGCAAAACTGTGTACGACACATCTTTCCAGTCATACGGGTAAAACCACCAACTAACAGCAGCGTCAATGCGAACCCAAGCTGGAGCCTCACGAAATCGCGGACAAACTTCACGATTGGCGCTACAGAATTTCCCCCAGCTGCACCACGTCAGGGGGGCAACATTAAGATTATGGTCACCGGCAGAGTCCATGAATGACGCTGAACGTGCGCAACCCGGGAATGTCAGGCTCCTTCTGGTGGAGCACAACAACCACCTCTTGAGCCAAAATGGCTACGGAACCCTTTGGGGCCATTTTGGGGCGAGCTTGGCTGTCGTGCAAGCGTCTTGGGGATGCCGCAGCCTCCCCCGAGACTCTCTTAGGGCCGCTTTGGAAACCCTCGTGGGCCCCCGTGGGCCCTCTCGAGGCACTCTGGAGCCCGCTGGTGGGCCCACTGGAGGACCCTCCTGGGCCGCCTCAGGGTGACCTCGGGGGCCCTCGGGGCCGTTGTGGACGCTCATGAGATCGGCAATGCGATCAGGGGAAAGTCACTAAGAGGCCTGAGGAAGATCGCTAAACTGCGCGTGTACGGAGGGAGCGCCTGGGGCCTTCTCAGGACTTCTCGGGAGCCTTTTCGACTCTCTTAGGGCCATCCTGGACAACATTGGGGTTGATTTTGGCTGTCGTGGAAGCGTCTTGGGAATGCCGCAGCCCCCCTGGGCCCCCCCCCCTACCAGCCGCAACTGGGGGAGATGCGTCCCATGCCCCTCAGGGAAGCACATCGTACATACGCTATCTCCAGATGGGTGCCAAAACTTTGGGGAGCGATGACCACAACTTCCCCAATTGTGGCTGCCATGTCTCTTGGGGAAGTCTTGGACCCGTACCGCTTTTTCGGATGGCAGCCCGGCGCCAAAGCTGCTTGCCCAAGGGGCTCGCCGATGACGGCGCGCGCGAGAGAAGCAAAAACCGGCGACAGCGCTGGAGCAGTCTTCCACGTGCATCATGACGGGCGTTTCGGAAACTTCTGAAGAAGTTTCTCGGACGACGCTGCAGAAACGCTGGGCCACCAAAAGAGCAGCGGGCGTGTACCCGACTGATCTGAGACGAACCTACGCGGGTTGCGAGGTTGCGAGCAGACAGCCTCTGGCAAGATGCGGTGAATCGACAACGGAGCAGGAAGAGGTGAACCAGGAGGGAAGCAGGGCATGTTGAGAGCACGTTCTCGGGCTCTTGTGGGCCCCTTTGAGGCCCTCTTGGGGCCGCTGGAGACCCTCGTGGGTGGGATGTTTAGGGGCTGCGACTGTGTATTGCCTCCCTCAAGCGCTGAAGGTCTTCGCAAACAAAAACTGTGGCTGTCGATGCTGTCTTTGCAAATTTGTACGAACGAAGTCCCTACCAAAAGGCGCAGCAAGTAAGGATCAACGCGGGCTGCGTTGGTCACCTAATTGACAATCGTTTGTCGTCCGCGCTTGACGGGTTGGTCTGGACCACGACCCACGACCCACGGCGGATGTCGGCGTCGAAGTCGCACAGCACCAACTGGTGCCACCGATTCATCGTGAATAGCCTGCCGACGACTCATTGAACCCTGCTGTGTAGCCGTGCTGCGGGAAGGTCCAGGTCGTGTTCGCAAACTGGTCTGAGAAGCTCGCCGTCTGGAAGACGATGAGGGAGGTGCACGTGGCCACGGCCATCAGGCCATCGGCGAGCGCCGTGGCCATGTCCTGGAAGGCCACGCCAGTCACCAAGCTCGAGAGCAACTGGAAGTCCCTGCGCCCCGTCCCGTACCCGGTGGGTGCGCCCCACCTCTGATACACGCCGACCTGGTTGCCAACGTACACGTCACCATCCCGGTCGACAACAGGTGCGGACCAGCTGCCAGGATTGCACGCGGCACGGCCGCCCATGGCCCGGCGGACGTCGCCACCTTCCTTGTCGCCAGCACACATGCTGGTCCACAGCGTCGGACCATCCGTCGAGAAGTAGCCTCCTGTGAGAGGATCCATGATGAGGATCGCGGTAGGGGAGTTGCGTGCGCAATTGTGCCCCAAGGTGACCACCACGCGGGTATTGAATCTGGGAACGTTGAGCCCGCCAACGACGGCGCTGGCTGGCGGTTGTGGCGTCACCCTCTCCCAACGGAGCCGGCCAGAGGTGGCGTTGTAGGCGCGGACGAAGCCTTTCTTGAAGGCTGCGTTTCCGCAGTGAGGAAGGATCCCAGGCGCTACATAAGGATTGCAATCCACATGATGGCCAAAATGCAGGATTGCGGAATTGTGCGCCCGATGCGGCAGATGAGCATCGTACTGCAGCATGCCCATGGCGATCACCAAGTTGTTGCCCGCGTCGTATATAGCAGCAGCCTCGGTGTACGTCCCTAGTTCGCCATCGCCCTTCCACACCAGGCTTCCAGTCGAGAGTTCCAGACAATACACGCTGCCCTCCTGGTCGTTGAAAATGACCGTGTCATCTGGACCCCAGACCGGGTTCATGTTCCACACGGGCGCGTTGGGCACGAAGCTCCAGACCTCAACGCCGCTTGCGGGGTTGAGGCCCCGCACAACAGTATTGCCTGGCGTGAAGACATTGGTCTGGTTGCGATACCTGTAACAATACCTGTCAATGCAACGGTTGGTTGCGACCACAACAATCCCGTTCTTGGAGGCTAAAGCCCCCTTAACACCCGCGATCGTAGATGAGCCCTGCAGCGCCCACACTTCGTACCCGGTCGACAGGTCGATCGCGAACACAAAGCCCGATGTAGCAAGCGTGCTCGATGGAGGACCACCCGTCCCCGTGGTGGTGCTCCCGATGAGCATGGGGGTGCACCTGGCCACCTTCTGCTCCACGCGCACGAAGTGATTGCTCATGGCCTCGAACTGAACCGCGCTCTTGCGCCCGGTGAGCGTCCACCTGGCGGATTCTGGAAACCCTGCATCCAAACACGTTTTCATCTCTGGGGGGGGCGGGCACCTCTTACTTCCGCCGCCTTCCGCCTGCCTTCCGCAGGCTTCCGCCTGCGGAGCCACGCTTGTTCTGCTTCCTCCGCCGCCTTCCGCCGAGGAAGAGATGGCACCTCTTTCGATTCTGGGAGGCAACGCCCTTTTTGGAACGCTCCACCTGATCACCGCTCTGTCGTACTTGCCTTCACTGTTCGGGGCGACGCTGGTGATCTGACCCTCATCGCCGGCCGTGTAGAGCTCCCTGCCGTCTGCCCGATAGCTCGCGCCGGCCTTTACTCTCACGCGGTCGCCGACCTCAAAGCCCCGGGGGAGCTGCACGGGGTGCTGCGTCTCCAGGCCGTTGCCCTTGAGCCAGTCTGGCCGCAGTGACTCCTCCTCCTCGGCGCTGATGTCCATCACCACAGCGGCCGACTGGCGGGGGGCGCAGCCAGTGGAGAGGGTGGGTGCCGCTGCGAGTTGACCTCGGGGGGCGTAGCTCCAGATGAGAGTGCCATTGACGTCAAACTTCCTGATGGCGTCGTCGGAGGCGAGGTAAATGTTCATTTCGTCGTCGATGAGGGGGCTACCAACCGGGATGGTTCCGTAAAGGTTGCTCGGGTGGTGCCAACCCCATGAGACGGACTCTGTGAGGTCCTTCGCGCCAGAATAGAAATCAGCACCCTCGCGGTTGACAGCGTCGCCCCAGAAGAATTTGCCATTGTCTCTCTTCTTCCTCGTGATGGTGTTGGTAGTGTACCGGGTGACGCCCAACTTGTTCATTTTGCCCAAGGCGAGCCACTCCGCCGAATCATAAGTCGTTACGCGGCTCTGTGACTTCTCGTAATAAAGCGTCCAGCCCGACTTCTCATTCAACTTCCCGCCCATGTGATTGTGAAGTTCAGCCTCGTCGTCGAACATCATATTCGACTTACTGTCAAGTGTCACGCCCGACTTATCATCAAACTTACCGCCCTCGGCCAACTTCTCGCTCGCACTGGCGTACCTTTGAACGCAGACAGCAGGGGCAAACAGAGACTGAATCGTGAACAGAATGTGTAGGGGAGCAGAGGCAGACATGAAGATCAGTGGAAGATCAATTAAGATTCCACGTGTAAAGTGTTGGAGATCAGTTGAGACTTGATGTCATGAACCGGACTTGAGCAAAACCGGCCGCGGTGGGCACAGAGAGATGAGGATGAGGAGGACGGCAGGGAGGTAGGACAGGAGGGAGACGAGCAAGCATGATCACCACCACCACCATCATCAATCTTGTCATCACTATCACCATCATCAGCAACTTCCTCATCCGTGGGACTCTCGTGCAACCTAACGGACGAGCGCGGTCGCAAGGAACCGTCGCAAGAAACCCAACCCTGAAAACCCGCGCGCGAGGTGCACCCGAGGGAAAACACGGAGCACCCTGAATCAGCAGCTCCTTCGACGGCCGCGGGAAGTCACCGCGCAGCGAGAGGAGCGAAGAAGCCTGGGGTACCCTGACGAGAAGCAGACGGTTTCTTGCGCTGGCGCCTCCCTTGGGCCCTCGAAGCCTCGCCGTGGCTTCGAAGATAGCCCAGGAAGGCCACCAAGTCCGCCAAGATGGCCCAAAATTGCCTCGCGAGGCACCCAACAACTCCCAAGAGGCGCCCAATGGATCCGAAGAGGCCCATCACGCGTGCTTCGCGCACTGGAAGTTTCGTGCGTCGTGCCGAACTCGTTAGCGTAAGTACTACTCGTCTGGGAGGTTCACGTGGCTGTTTGTGGCGCCTCCTGGGCTGTCCTATGGATACTTAGGGGTCGTGTTGGGCTCGTCTTGGGGGTCTCATGGGCCGTCCAGGCTGCCTGAGGGGTCTCTTGGGATTGTCTGGGGACTGCTTGGGCATCGTCGGACGTCTTGAGCCTCGCCAAAGGACCTCCTGGAGCGTCTGGAGGCTCTATCGAGCAACATGTGGGCCCGTATCCGGCTGGCTTGGGAGCCTGTTGGGGCACTTCTGGGTGGCGCAGAGATGACATTGGAAACCTCTTCGGCTGTCTGTGTTGCCTGACGAGCGACAAAAACGAATACTCATGCGAACAACCTGGCCTGGCCCTCGACAACACCACAACTTTGAATGTGTACAAATCCGCCACCGTGCCGCTAGGCACGGAGTGGCCGTATCCTCAGGTCCTTTGCCCAATCCTCTCAGCTTCAATTCTCACTCTTGAGGAGTCCTTACGGGGCCCTGAGCCCAAATTGCCAAATTTGGCAGGGCGTCTCGCTTCTTGTCGTGACTTCTCGAGTGACTTGTTCGGAGCCACGAGGGTCCCAAGACGGACCAAGAGGGCCCCAAGAGGTGTTGGCCGCAACCGCGGGAACAACTCACCCGATCAACATGATCTTGACTTAGGCGTCCCCAGGTCAGGCACGATGATAACTCAGACAGGCCGCGTTCGCAAATATTCCCCAAATGTCTCCGAATGCAGCGCACGCAATTTTGGTAGTTCGGAACCCCATGCGTGGCCGGCCTGCCTTTGATTGATGCGCAAGCGTGTCAGGAAATGCTCCTGACGATGGCGTACACTGAAACCTTCGAGTGATGCGGCGCCAAGGGGGTGAACTTGAGGGTTGCTTTATGCGGGTGTCGTGTCGCATCGCCTCTGAAACCCATCCATGGGACAACCGCCTCTGGCTCAACGGACACCCCTGAAGCAGCAGGGTGCGAGGCGCCGTGGTTGCGCATGTCCATTGCGGTCCAAACTGGCCCATTCAAAAAAACGCAATATCGTTGTCTGAACTTTTCAATGTTTCAGTTGCGCATGCTTTTCACCTGTAAGGAAAAAGGCGCGAATGATGCCCAGCGGGGCCGTCATTGAGGATAACGCCAACGTTTCCGTCTCGCGTGCGCACCGTCGTTCGGGCCGATTCCGTTCAACTCACTGTTGGAAATCGCTGCCTTATGAACGATGGCCCGAATGTTTGGCATCGCCAACCTTTCACTCGACATGCAGGGGGAGCGATCTTGCGCGTGACCTTTTTCGAGCGACGCCGAAATGAAACAATTGAAGAAGAGGTTGGCGGGGCAATCGGAACAGGGACACGCCAGTAGCGGGGACTGCGCTTTGGCGTTCGTCGCTCATTCCGCTGCGCGTGAGCGGGCGAGGGCGGCTTTGGGCAGTCGGGGTGTATATCAAAAAAACTCCTGGAAAGAAGCATGCCGCGACGTTAGACATGCCGGCGGGGAAAGGACGGGCAGGTTTGGGGCAAGTTTGACGCGCGAGGGATGGGATTTATGATTGCGTCATTCGTGAACTACAACCGAACCTGTGACCACAAAAACCACAACTTAAGAGATCTGGGACAGCTTCCCAGACATTTCTGAAACACACTCCTGGGCCGATTTCTGTTGCTAACGCTGGGGAAGCGAACGTACTCAAGAAACTGGGCCAGCTTTCCAGCAGGTTGGTCAAGAAACGCTGGCCCAACTTTTCGATAGGAAACGTCTTAGTCATATTCTCGACCGGAGCCGCCCGCCCCGCGCAGGCGCACCGCGGCCATGGTTGTATACACAAGTGTTTCCCATGGTTTCCAGGGCAGGCGACGCCGCGCAACACGCAGTTGGTCCCAGTCGAGCCCCAACAATACCCACCCCGAAAAACGCGCACCAACGCGCGAACACACGCGGCATAACAAGCACGACGCGCTGCAGCCAGGCAGCGATGGCCTCCGGACTGCGCGAGACCGATCGGCGGGCATTCCGGGGGCCGCGCGCGGAAGCATGTCGCATTGCAACCGATGATGCGATGGCGCGGTAGAGGTGTTTGTCGCGGGAGTCTTGGCGGAGCGCGCGGGATGTGCACGCGCGGCTGGAAGGAAGGCAAGAACCCAGGGGGGTGGGAGGGGAGGGGTGGAACGCGGATGGGGGATGCAAGGGTTTGGGGGCAACGAGTCGGGTTGAAAAATCGGCGCAGCTTCCAAGCGCGCTGCGACCCCTTGGTGACAACGCATGCCGATCCCGTTGGCGTATCGGTCGAACGCACTCTTGACTCCGAGTCCGTTCGGTCCCGCGTTCCCTTTTTCACTGCTCGTCGCAGATTGTCTTTCTCATCGGTGCTTTCGGAGCTCGTCCCCCCTGCCCCCGCGGCTCTGGACGGCAATGCCTGCGGATGCCCCCGCCGCAACCCACCCCCTCACCCACCCCCCGGCCCACGCGCGCGTCGCGGTGACCATGGGCATGTCGTAGCGTTCGACTGTGTTCCAACACCGATGCGTCTGATTTGTTCGACACGGTGGTGGCTCGTTGCAGCTGTGGCGCTGGTAACAAATCAATGACTTTTGCTTCGCGTATCCTCGCCAACCCATCCAGACACGACCGCCAGGCGAGTTGCCCTTATAGCGGGTTTGTCGCAACATGCACCCAAAAATCAAGCGCAACGGCAATCGCGAATTGTTCGCTTGTTGGCGGCGCCTCGGAACCGCGTCAAGCAGTGTTCACGGCCTCCGAAGCTGTCTTGGGGTTCTCTCGGGGCCCACTCGGTGACCTTTTGGGGCCCCCTTGTGGCCAGATTGAACTGCATCAACCACAGACATAGGCGGCGCCGATTCAGCGCACTGAAGAGCATGAGACGTTACGTGTCGCCCTTGCGTGATGTGGGGGCTCTTCTGGGCCCATCTTGGGGCTCCCAGACGGACATCATAGAACAAATAACACATGTTGCAAAATGTTGGCCCCAGGGAGGTCTCCTGGGGCGCTCTTTGGCCATTTTGAGCCTTTCTAGGGCCGTCCTTGGGCTTCTTGGCGAAATGCCAGGGGCCATTTGAAATAGGTTGAAACACATGTTGCCAATGGTGGGGGCATTGCCAATCTATCGTTAGCTATCTAGAAGTACCCTCGGCACAACAAAAGGATCCCAGCGATGACCCCTGGAAACCAGCATCCATCAACGGCCAGGGTTCCCCTATGACTTTTCCATGAAACAGAAGGTGTCGAACTAAAGACGTAGTCGAATTAGAAAATACAACCCCACTCGGACACACGTTAGGACCCTTTCCCAGCTCTGCTGCCCAGGAAAGGTAATTTATCAGGGAAAGGATTTCCCGAACGCTGACGGCGGCCCCGAGGGGATGTGTTCAAGACAAATCGCAGGTGGGTGAAAGGCGAGCGGTTCTCCCGAAATTGGCGGTGCCCCCGCGGGTGGGTCTGTTCGTAAATCAGCGCAGATTCCCCGATGTATGCTCGCCAGCAAGAGTTGGTCGAGGCGGCAACGACCCATGCGGCCGTGGTTGCGCAAAGCCCGGCAACGACGACGATGACGAACGACAACAGCAACGGGTGCGCCATATGACAATCAATTAACCGCCAACTTAGCTTCGAAAACTCAATGCTTACAACCAGTTGTGTTACTCGCTTTGTCATACCTCAATATGGTGTACAGGATTGTGCCACTTTATAATACACTTTTTGCGCAAGCGTGCGTGCGTGCGTGCGCGCGCACGCGTGCGCCATATGAAACTCCACTAGAATGGCACATTTAATTTCCAACACTGCGAGGTGAAACGAAACTTCACGCGTAGTTCCGGGCCTCAACACAGAATGACGTTTTGTGACATCATTGACTTTCCCTATTCCGCGGGCGTGCGCGCGTACGCGCGCACGAGTGCGCTGTGTGATCATCAACTGGAAAAGGCCAACTCCAATTCGAAAGTTGAATGTTGAGAACACATTGTTTCATTCGTGTGCTAGGCCTCGAAATGGTATGATGCAGCGCGACACAATACAACTTCCTTGTTGCGTGAGCAGGCGCGCGTACGCGTGCGTATGCCCGCACGCGGGCATGAACAACAGTTAGAAATGACAAACATAACTTCGAACACTGAATGGCGATAACAAATTGTTTCGCCCGCGTTCTAGGCCCCAACGTGGAATGACGCACTGGGACACAATGAACGTCCCTTCTTGCGCGCGCCAGGGCCATATAAGAAGCAAATGGAAATGACAAGCGGAATGTCGAAATCTGAAGGATGACAACCATTCAAAGCCTGAACATGATATGGAGCATTGTGACATAATGTACGCTCCTTCTGCGCGGGCGTGCGCGCGCACGCGCGCACGTGTGCACCCAATGAGAATACAACAAGCATGGTCAACATGTTCTCGATAACTGAATGGTGGAAACCTCTTGCTTCAGCCGTAGTCTAGGTGCCAACATGGTATGATATAATGTGTCACAAAATGCTTCCCGTAATGCGCGGGAGCGTGCGGGTACGCGCGCACGCGCGCGCCAGATGAAACATCAATTGAACATGGTCAGCTCACCTTCGAAAGCGAAATCGAGAAAACCAATCGTTTGATTCACGTTCTAAGCCCCAACGTGGTATGATGCCTAGTGGCACAACACACGTTCCTTGTTGCACGGGCGTGCGCGCGTACGCCCGCCTACGCGAGCACGCGCGCGCCATGTGAAAATCAATGCAATAGAACTAAGGGTAACGCGTGCCTATCTATCCGCCACCGTGCCGCTGGGTACGGAGTAGGCGTGTCCTCAGGTCCCTTACCTGACCCCTGAAGCACCCCTGAGGAGGCGTTCGGGGGCCTGGACCCCACTTTCCGAAATCTCCTGGGGCTCGTCGCGTGCCCCCTGGGTTCCGGGATGTCTCGTCGCGAGAATGATTCGGGCACGCGAGGGCAAGAGGGCCCCAAGACGGGCCAAGAGGGCCCCACGAGGCCCCCAAGACGATCCAAGAGGCCCCCGAGTCGCCGAAAGATGATTTCAAGACGCCCAAGATGGCTGAATGATTGCCCAAGAAGCCTCCAAAAGGACCCAGGAAACCTCCAAAAGTCCTCGCAAGAGGACCCCAGGAAGCAAAAGTCATTGATTTCCCTCGGGCCCTTTAAGGATTTGGGCGTTTGCGCCTTTTCTGTTGTCCGACGCTCCATGACGGCCCAATAGGCCCCCAAGACCATCCCAAGACGGCCCAAGAGGCCCCCAAGAGGGCCCAAAGACGGCCTGAGAGCGCCCAAAGGCGGCCCAAGAGGCGCCCAAGACGGCCTAGTCCGAAAGAGGCCCGAAGAGGCCCCAAACCAGCACCAAAGAGACCTCAACACTGCCTGCAAGAGGTCCCCGAGAGGCACCCCACGAGATCCCAACAAACATCCAATAGGCTTCGTAACCACAACCCAGGCACGGTGGCGGGATGGGCCGAAGGCCATCAGACATGGTGCAACATGTGTGGTTCTTCAGAATATGTTGTGCAATCTTCGTGGTGCAATCAATGTATGTCGTGCACTATATGTGGTGCAATCTATGTGGTGCAATTGGTTTTTACCCATAATCTGACACATCCCATGCTCTTGCAAACATCCCACCCACCCACCCGCAACTTGTTTTGCAAAACCTCTTAAGACCGACTACGATGACACCGACGACAACGACTACGACGACACCGACGACGACTCCGACGACTTCGACGACGACGACAGCGACGACGACGACGACAACAACGACGACACCGACGACGACGACGACGACGACGCCGACGCCGACGACGACGACGACGATGACGACGCCGACGACGACAACGACGACGCCGACGACGACGACGTCGACGACGACGACGACGACGGCGGCGACGACGACGACCGTCGTCGACGTCGGCGACGACGACGACGTCGCCAACAAAGACGACGAGGACGACGAGGGAAGAGGGAGGACGACGACGGCGACAACGACGACAACGACGAAGGAGGAGGGAGGACGGCGACGACGTGAACGACGAAGAAGGAGGAAGGACGGCGACGCCGACGACGACAACGACGAGGGGGGAGGGAAGACGACGACGACGACGCCGACGACGACGACGACGGCGACGAAATAGGAGGGACGACGACGAGACGCCGACGACGGACGACGACGAGGGAAGAGGAGGAAGGACGACCACGGCGACAACGACGACGGAAACGACCACGTCGCCAAAGAGGACGACGACGACGACGAACACGAGGAAAGACAGAGGACGACGTAGACGACGACGACGACGACGCGGGAGGAGGGAGGACGGCGACGACGACGACGACGACGCAAGAGCGCGCGCGAACGCTCTTGTTTAAAATCCGTGTAGCGAAAACTTGTGTTTTTGTAGGTTTTTTGGACACACGATTTTGAAATCCTTCCGAAACCAATGGGTTTTGAAGGATTTCGGCATACGCGCGCGAGGACGCGCGCGTCTGCACTTCGTCCCATTTTCTGCAGAGGATTCTCGCGACGGCACACGCGCAAGGGCGTTCGACAGATTTCGACATGCGCGCGCGAAGCCCGTTTGGTAGCATGTTGTGAAAATCTTGGAAAACCTATGGTTTTCTTGAGATTTCGCAAGAGCTCGCGCGTAAGCTTTTTTAGCAAATCAGTGTTGCAAACCCTGTGTGTTTGTATGATTTGTTTGGAAAGTCGTTTGCGAAATCCTTCCGACACCGAAGGTTTTTGAAGGAGTTCGGCATGCGCGCGCGACGACGCGCGCGTTCGCACTTCGTCCAGTTGTTTAACAAGGGATTCGTGACAAAAAGTGTCATGCTGGAAGAAAACATGTCCCCGCACATCGTTTTTTTAACCAGGGAGCCTCAGGGGGACCGATACCAGTTCCATTTTGACATTGTAAATTCATATTTAGGATGGACATGTGGTGATAATCATATATGATTTGCATACCCGAAAGGGGGGCGGCGAACGCCGGGGGGGGGTGTCCATTATCTTTTGAGAAAGGAGAACCAATGTATGTCGCGATCAACAAGCAAGTCGCAAGCGTGCGTTTTCGTGCAATCTCCGTGGTCTTATCCAGCGGCGGCGACGGGCGGCGACGAGGCGACGACGGGGCGGCGACGGCTGGAACGTAGCCTCCAGATCGCCCGCACAACCCAAACGACGGGCGGCCACGATGTGGCAACTTGGCGGTGACGGCCGGAGCACAGCCGTCAGACCGCCCACACGGCCCAGCTCCTTACAGGAAAGAAGCAAGAGCCCGCAAGTGCAAGCACAATTTCGGGGGCAAAAATGGCCGCGGAGCCGCGGCCCCGACATCCCGAGGCGAAGCTGGCCGTGGCGACCGTGGGCGGGCAGCGGCAGCCTTGCCTCCTCAGAGCTGCTCCCCGCCCCACACGTTGGGAGATCTGTTGGTCTCGGAGGGAAGAGCTCCCGACTCGCCCCGCACACCCCGCATGCCGCGGCCGCCAGGCCCCGCGTGTCGGCGCTCCCTGGGCGTTTTCCCCCTCGCGTTCTCGGGCGGGGGCCTGTTGCTGCTCTTCGCGACGGGGCCAGCAGGCCCCCGGAGATCTGACATTGCAGGCAAGTCTCGAGCCGCATCGATCCGCGAGGGTCCTGGGGCCCGCACTCGGGGGAAAACGCCCGTCGGGTTCCCCAACCCAGTGGGAATCAGCTGGTCAAATTCTGCGCCTAACTTGTCTCAAATTGTGCAGAAGATGACTTACGGCCAGGGAGGTAGGTAGGGGCATGTGGTGGCACGTCATTATTATCGTCGCCGTAGTTCATAGCATTTTTGCTCGTGTAGCTGAGCAGGTCTTAAGGCAGAGTCCCAATACGCAACCATTGGGGCGGGCAAAAAGACAGAGCATACATTTGTGTCTTGATTCTCATTCGCTCTCTCTGTTGAGGGCCCGCCTGATACGCCAGAACGTGGTCGGGGCAGTTCCCCCAGTCCCGCGCGTACAGCAGCGGGTCGTCGACGGCGGCCTCGCACGGGTCGACGTGCACCCACCGGCCCCGCACGCGGGCCTGCGCCGCGCGCGGCGGGGCCCCCTGGGAGCTGCCTCGTCCCCAGCCATGGGGGGGGAGGGGGACTCCAGGATCGCGAGGTTCAAGGGCAGCTAGAGGCTTCCCAGGTGGGATCGGAGTAGATGGTGTCGGAGGGTCGCGCCGCATCGTCGATGTATCATCGATGCATCGGCGATGCATCGGCGAC